GAGCTAATACACTCGGGCACCGCTCGAAAGTGCTCAATCTGATATCCCACATCCGAATACCTGTGATCTGCGCGTCTATGAACGATCATATTGTCGGAGTAGGTTTGTGCATAGCTACGATGAGCCATAAAACTGTGTCCCTAGACAATTTGACTTTGCTGGTGTATGGTTCTGCAGCATAATTTACAACTTGCAGACCATCCCGCTCGAAGTGCTCAACGCAGTGAGAGTAATATCGCTGTCTCTCGTCAGCAATTGGTAGAAAATCTTTACTTTGTTGAGGGCATTGATCAAAATGCAGTTAACCATGATTGTCTGCAGATATTCTTTCCTGATATCAGCGTTTGCGCCGGAATTGTGGCTGCAGTCAGCTTTTATAAGCATGCACATTTCGCCACTTGTCATTAGCTCATTTGGTACAGAAAGTCGACGCTGAGTGTGGCAATATACTTTCTCTCAACAAACCTGCTTAGTGCTTAGCACGAAAAAACGCGTCAATTTTAAATGTCACTCTGATCCCTTTGGTCAAGACCTTTGATGTGGGATGCAATATCCAATTCGTCAATTACATGACGCACCCCGTTATGGTGGGATAACACACGTGCTTTATTTATCGTCACTACGTGGGGAGATTCTTTCAACAAAAGAATTAAAAGGATCCACAGGATCTTCGGAATAACTGTATTACTTCTCGCGCTTATTTCTATATAAGTGACGCAATGAAAGTATAATCCGATACGGATGGCGAGCTTGGCTCATCCTCTAGTACTGACTGTACTATTTTAGTGATTTCGCCGCCTAAAAATTCCTTGTAGATATCCCCAAAATTTTAACTTTATAAGAGCTCGTGTCGGATGTAGTGAGGGAATCTTGCAAGACCTAAAACTACTCTGGCCACTCCAATCACAAGTATAATGTTCCACTTCGTGGAGCTTAACTGCTCCGCACAGCGAGTCTATCATACAGTAGCGCTGGCTCAGCAGTATCTTTTTAACGTGACAATGTTAAATTATTCTTTTTAGATTTAGCACCCAGCCCTTCTACTCGAGACATCAATTATTTTTCTCAACCCCATCGGCGCTGGCATAGAGAGCAGGTCACTTAATTGCTCCTACACCTGCCAGAGAGGCAATAGCTCACAGCTGTTCCTTGCCGTCCAACAGAGATGCATTCTGGGCTCAAGCATACAATCGTCATGTGCGGTCTCAACCGATAAATACTCAGGATACCGCGATATATAATCACCCTTCACCACTTCATCTAATTGCAGCACTTGCCTTTCGAGATCTGCTCAAGCCACCTTGCAGTATTATTGCTATCGACTTCGGACAAATCCATGTCATGCACAGAATCTATCATAGCTTTGTGCCTGTGGCACCTGCACAGCACCATTCCAGCGATAAGTTGATGGTAATGACGTAAGAGGCGCGACAGT